CTGATGATCTTGGCTGAAGCTCACACACACACACACACACCTGAAGACAATGATGATCTTGGCTGAAGCTCACACACACACACACACACACCTGAAGACACTGATGATCTTGGCTGAAGCTCACACACACACACACACACACCTGAAGACACTGATGATCTTGGCTGAAGCTCACACACACCTAAAGACACTGATGATCTTGGCTGAAGCTCACACACACACACACACACACCTAAAGACACTGATGGTCTTGGCTGAAGCTCTCACACACACCTGAAGACACTGATGATCTTGGCTGAAGCTCTCTCTCTCTCTCTCTTGTGCACGTACGCATGCACGCACACACACCTAAAGACATTGATGGTCTTGGCTGAAGCTCACACACACACACCCACACACCTAAAGACATTGATGGTCTTGGCTGAAGCAGCTGGGCTCCAATCTTGGGCCAGATCTAAGTCCTCAAAGTAGTCCTCATAGATGTCTATAGCATTGTTCTGTTTGATGCAGTGCTCCATCATCTGTAAACATAAACACTCAGACAGACCCGTATACATATATATGTGGTCAAATCTACAGCACTGTTTTTTTGCACAGAGATAAAAACGTATACATGTAAGCATAGACAAATAGATTGACATCAAGACACACACATATAGTGATATACATACATATAGACATAGAGATACACGCATATTAGTATAGAAAAGACATACAGACATTTGGAAACTTACATATAGGTATAGACACACACATATAGCGATAGACACACATATAGACTTAGAGATACACACATATTAGTATAGGCATGCAGATAGACATAGAGATACACACATATATGTAAAGACATACACACAGACACACACACATTAAAGTATAGACATACAGACAGATACAGACACACACAACAAATGTAAGTATAGACATACAGACAGACACACATTTAAGTATAGACATACAGACAGATACAGACACACACACACATGTTAGAATAAACATACAGACAGAAACAGACACACACAACAAATTTAAGTATAGACATACAGACAGATTTAGACACACACACATATTTAAGTATAGACATACAGACAGACACAGACACACAACACATTTAAGTATAGACATACAGACAGACATAGACACACATCCATATAAGTATAGACATACAGAAAGACATAGGCACACATACATATAAGTATAGACAGACAGATAAGACCTACCAGTGGCAAAAATTGGAGGCAGTTTTAACGAGAACACACCCGATGAGATATCTGAGTTTGAAGTTTGATCACAATCGCAGTCTATTCTTTAAAGACTTCGTCGACCATGTTATAATGAAAGCCCGTAAAGGCTTATCAGCAATGAGGGTCCTGGCCACCGCCAACATCCAGTAGAGACTGCTTCTGCGACTGTTCCAGGGATCGGTTCTTTCTCCAATCAAATATGCTTTAGCCATACTCACCGTCAGCGATACTCACTGTCAGCGCTACTCACTGTCAGCGATACTCACTGTCAGCAGTACTCAGATTGAAAGACCAGAAAAGGTGCAAAATATAGCCATGCACATTATTCTGGGGTGCAGAAGAGACACCTCTCGCGTAGCAATGAGATATTCTCTTGATTTCCAACAAGGCACCAGAGGATGAAGATCTGGAGAACTCATGCATACCTGAAGACAAGCTCAGATTTAAGGAACCCTATGCACAATGTTCTCTTTAGGAAAAAGGGCACAGGCTAAAAAGGGGCAAATCATGGCTAGTTAGAGCAGAGGATGATACCTTACAGACATCAACCTGGGTGAAGAATGGATACCTGTGCCCCAGGTGCTCAATTGCACCTTTTTCTGTGTTGTCACGCTTGATAGAATCTGTCGGAAGCAGAATCCAGTTGCTGTGAATGCAGAGGTCCATGCATTTATATGTAAAAATTCAGATGAGGCGGATGTATTCATCTACGCAGGAAAAAAATGCAGATAAGCCAGCTCTGCTATAGTTAAAGAGGGCCAGCCCTGGATCATGCAGGCACTGATAATGCCATTAGATAGGTAGAACGTTCGAAGGATTTTAAAGCAGCACACCCACATCTTTGCTAGAGTGCAAGAATTGGGTTAAAGATCAGCACAGCCAGGCACAAGAAGCATACCGGATGCATGAAAAGTCTTGTCAACCAATAAAGGACTGGGTCTATCAACCATGGGACACTGATCTATATGTTGAGGGGCGAATCTGAGCACCCATGGGCGAGTCAGAGTGAAGATAAATCCAAATCATAACTCATAACTCAGATAGACATAGGAACGCGCGTGCGTGCGTGCGTGTGTGCGTGTGTGTGTGTGTGTTTGCGCGCGCGCAAATAAAGAACCCAGAAACAAACAAACATTCGTCGTATATTGGCTTTTAAAGATTAAGAAAGTCAATATAGGACGACTAACTGTTCTATAAGTTTGTGTGTGTGTGTGTGCATGTGCGTGTGTGTGTGTACACACACATAAAGAAGAAGACATCCAACAACGGTGACCAAATGTTCTATATAAGTGTGTGTGCAGGTATGTGTGTTTGTGTGCATGTGTGTGTGTACACCCAGACACACATGCACACAAACACACATACATATAAAGAAGACATCCAACATTGATAGCATACCGTTCCCAGCTCCTGTATGGCACTGACGTATCCTTCCTCTTTCTCTACTTTTTTCCTGTAACGTGTGACCTGTTCCACCTCACTAGGGTTGATGTCTTTTGGCCAGCCTCCTTCTGTGTGGTTAACTCCTCGAACACTGGTCTCAAACCGTTCCGTGTTCACCTGCAGGCAACAAATTGTGTAAATTATTTGTCACAAATCAAATTATGTCATATATGTCCCAAATCAAATTATGTCACATATCTGTCCCAAATCAAATTATGTCACATCTTTGTCCCAAATAAAATTATGTCACCCATCTGTCCCTTATTAAATTATGTCACCTGTTCCAAATCAAATTATGTCACATATCTGTCCTAAATCAAATTATGTCACATTATTTGTCCCAAATCAAAATTTGTCACATATCTGTTCCCAAAAAAATATTATGTTATACCTGCTCCAAATCAAATTATGTCACACATAGGTCAAAAAACTAAATTTGTCACCCATCTGTCCTAAATCAAAATATGTCACTTACCTGTCAAAAATCAAATTATGTCACAAATCCCTCCCAAATCAAAGTATTTCACATATCTGTCGCAAATAAAATTATTTTACATATCTGTCCCAAGTTAAATTATGTCACATATCTGTACCAAATCAAATTTGTAACATATCTGTACTAAATCAAATTATGTCACATATTTGTCCCAAATCAAATGATGTCACATATCTGTACCAAATAAAAAATGTCACATATCTGTCCCAAATCAGGAGGATAGCCCAATTTTCATATCCTAAACTAAATTATCGCCAATAGGTTTGTCACTTAAATATCAATCATAATATCAAAATTCTTGTCCCCATCTGGTAGAGATTCATCAATGACAAAGCAGTGTGAACAGTTCTAGACCTTTTTCCTTGTCATTTAATTTACAAAAATTACATGAAAATTGTATCCCGTCTCGATTATTTGTTAAAAATCAGAAAATAATGCACAGACCATGATGAACTTTGCAAACAAAAGGACTTCCCGTTCTTAATCCTAATTGTTCAAAAACTTGTTTTATAAAAAGTTTGCTTTCCCCACAATCGAAACAAAATTAGAGTGTCTCTATCATACGCCAAAATACTGGCCATCGTCCATTAGGGATAAATTTATTTGCCAGTATACTGGCAATATGTCTTTAAAGAGTTAATCAAATTATGTCACATATCCGTCCCAAATCGAATTATGTCACATATCAGTCCCAAATCAAATTATGTCACATATCTGTCCCAAATCAAATTATGTCACATATCATTCCCAAATCAAATTATGTCACATATCTGTCCCAAATCGAATTATGTTACATATCTGTCCCAAATCGAATTATGTCACATATCTGTCCCATATCAAATTATGTCACATATCAGTCCCAAATCAAATTATGTCCCATATCTGTCCCAAATCAAATTATGTCACATATCTGTCCCAAATCTAATTATGTCACATATCAGTCCCAAATTAAATTATGTCACATATCTGTCCTAAATCAAATTATGTCACATATCTGTCCCAAATTGAATTATGTCACATATCTGTCCTAAATCAAATTATGTCACATCATCATCATCATCAGGTGCCTTGCCGACTGGCGTGGGCGATCATGCCTCTCCATAATCCGCGATCTCCTGCAGCATCTATCAGTTCGTGTGCCGACACACCTCCATGCCATGCAACAAGACTGTCAAGCATCTTTTCTCGTTGTCTTCCTCTATCCCTCCTTCCACAGATCTTTCCAGTGGTCACAACATGTTCTATTTTCCCTCTTCTCATAACATGGCCGAAAAATGATGACTGTCTCCTTCTGATGTCAGTGATAAGTTGTCTTCGGTCTCCCGCCTCTTTTAAAACCTCTTGGTTGCTCTTTTTGGCTGTCCAAGGAATTCTAAGCATTCTTCTGTAAAACCACATCTCTGAGGCCTCCAAAAATTGTTTGGCCTGCCTACCGATTGTCCAGGATTCACATCCATATGTTAAAACTGGATGTATGTAGCAAGCAAGAATTCTTTTTCTAACTGTCAATGACAAGGATATATTGCACAAGATGTTTTTCATTTTATAAAATGCAGTTTTTGCCTGTCCAATTCTGTTTCTTATTTCAGTTATGCATCTTCCATCTGATGTTATCCATGTGCCCAGGTACTTAAATTTCTGTACTTATCTTAAAATAACACCATTGACTTTTATTACACATTTAGGAATAATTTGTTTTCTTTGATACCACCATTACTTCTGTCTTCAAATTATTCAAAGTGAGGCCCATTATTCCAGTTTCTAATTCCCACAATGTCTATCATTTCCTGTAATTCTTTCTGACTTGTTGCTATCAAGACTGTGTCATCAGCATAACGTAAATTGTTTATATTGTGCCCACCAACCACGATTCCGGGCATATCAATTAAAGATCTCATAATATATTCACTGTATATTGAAAACAAATCAGGTGAAAGTACACATCCTTGTGGTACGCCCCTCTTTATGCTTTGAAATGTACCTAAACAGTTGTTAATTCTTATAGCTGCTGTTTGCTGCCAATACATATTCTTTATAATTCTTAGATCTTTCCCATCAATGTTTAATTTTTCTAACAGTCTGATTACTTCTTCATGCTTCACACAGTCAAATGCTTTTGTATAGTCTATGAAGCATAAGTACAAATCAGTCTTTACTTCTATAGCTCTTTCTGACAATGTCCTTAGGATGTATATGGCATTGTTTGTACCTTTTCCTTCTACAAATCCACATTGTTCATCACTGATTTCTGGTTTAATTTTGTTTCTTATTCTTCTCATAATTATTCTCAGTAAAATCTTAGTCTCATAAGACTTATTGTGCGATGGTCTTCACATTTTAAAGTGCCTGGTTTCTTCGGCAGAGCTATAAATATGGATTTTAAAAGGTCATTTGGAATATACCCACTGTTATAAATATCATTTAAAAGTTTAGTTATTATTTCAATTCCAAAATTTCCCAGTGCTTCGATTTCTTCCAGTGAGATGTTGTCTGGCCCGGGTGCTTTTCCTTTCTTCATATGATGTATTGCATCCTCAACTTCTGCAGTCATTATTGGTGGACCATCATTGTTGTTCTGCAGTTCTACGTCTGGTCTATTATCATCATACAATTCCCCTATATACTCTGTCCATCTGTTAATTATATTACTATGTCCCATTAATAAGTCACCATCCTTTGATATCAAACATCCAGTGCTGTTACGTGTCATCTTTCCTGGTAGCATATTTATCTGTTGGTACATGGAATGTGAGTCTTTCCCGTGATTTTCCCCAATCTCTGTACACATTTGATTCAGCCAGGCTTCTTTAGCCACTTTGCATTTGTTCACTATTTCTTTTTGTATTCTAGAGTATTCTTCTTTATCATTCTTTTTCTTCCTTCTTTCATCCATCAACTGCAGAATTTCGGTTGACATCCATTTCTTTTTTGCAACTGTATGGGTTGGTGGGATTGTCTCTTTTGATGTCTGCTGAATTGACTCACGCAACATATCCCACTGTTCATCAATTGTTTGTATAATTTCCATTGCATTATACCGTTTTTTGTACAGTGACGTTGTACTGTTTCTTAATTTCTTTATCCGTTCTAAGAATTCCTAAATTTAACTTGATGTTCTGTGGTGTTTTTCTAATGTTCTTTAGTTTTATTCTAATTTTTCCTACAACTGGAACATGGTCACTAAAGCAGTCTGCCCCTGGTCTAGTTTTAGCTCCAACTAAGCTGCTCTGAAATCTTCTTGAAATCAAAATATAATCAATCTGATTGCGGACATTATCACCAGGACTTTTCCAAGTCCACAATCTTCGAGGATGGTGTTTAAACCAGGTGTTACCTATTATCATGCTGCGCAACTCAGCCCATGCTATTAATCTGTCACCTCTCACATTCTTTTCTCCTAGTCCATATCCACCCGTTACTCCGTACACTTTTTCACTTCCTACTTTTGCGTTGAAATCTCCAAGTACCATTGTTACTTCACAATTTTTGCATTGATCAACAGCCATGTCTAACTCATCATAAAATGCGTCAATGTCTTCCTCTGAACTATCTGCTGTTTGGGCATAAATCTGTACTAAGTTGATGTCAAACGGTCTGCCGCGAAGTTTTACTAATAGTACTCTATCTGATATTGTCCAAAATCCTTTAACAGTTTTTGAGTTCTTTGGATCCAAAATAATACCAACTCCCTTGCTATATTCTTTCCCTCCCGAGTAGATAATTCTGTGCTGATCTGAATACTTTTCCCCTGCTCCTGGCCATCGCATTTCACTAATTCCTAGTATGTTGATGTTCATTCTTTTCATTTCCATCTTGATGTTATCCAGTTTTCCGTTTTGCACGAGTGTTCTGACATTCCATGTACCAATGTTCATGATGTTTCTACCATTTACTTTTTCTACAGTAGCTGGATGACGGTCGGGTATCACCCGTAGAACATGATGCTCCCTACCGGACGAGGTGATTCCACCGGAATCCCCATTCACGTCGTTATCTGAATACGTATTATTTTGAGGCATGATTTTCTTGGGATGGTACAGCGGTGGTTTCCCCTTGCCTTCCGCCAGTTTGTATATGGTTTGACTCCAATAGCCTTTGTCTAAAAAGACTTACCCTACTTACATATCTGTCCCAAATTGAATTATGTCACATATCTGTCCCAAATCAAATTATGTCACAATCTGTCCCAAATTGAATTATGTCACATATCTGTCCCAAATCAAATTATGTCACATATCTGTCCCAAATCAAATAGTATCACAATCTGATACCAGTAAAAGTATGACCTATCGGTGAGCAGTCAAAATATGTCTACCATCTTTCGCAAGTAAAATTATATAACATTTCTCTCACAAATCAAATAATGTCTATAATCTGTCACAAATCAAATTATGTCTACCATCCTAATTGCTGATTTTGTCACTGTCTAATTACTAATCCTGTCAATGTCTAATTACTATTCTTGTCACTGTCTAGTTGCTAATCTTGTCACTGTCTAGTTGCTAATCTTGTCACTGTCTAGTTACCAATCTTGTCACTAATTACTAATCTTGCCAATGTAGACATTGTCAATGTCTAATTACTAATCTTGTCACTGTCTAGTTGCTAATCTTGTCACTGTGTGTGTACACTCAGACACACACACACACATACACACACAAAACAAGACACGGGTAAAACGGCAGAGAAAAACAAAAAAACATTTGCAGAGCAGTTTTCTCGTCCAGTCCGGATTACTGACGTAATATCCTCTGGGTAGTCGGACGGGCTGGGCATTTGGGCAATTGAACCAGTTGAAAAAAAAAATTGAAGGAGCTGCTGACTTCACGTCGTCAACCCACCGTTAAGAGTCCCTGAGAACCGATGCTGTTCTTAAGTGCACCACTGTAGGGCATTATCAGGGAGCTCTGTGAATGTGTGTGAGTATAGGTTCTAGTCTGTGTGTGAGTGTTGCCAGGCTAGGCTTGTGCACCTATGTGTCAAGATGAGTGACAGAATCAAGTGTCCATGTTGTCTGGGGAAGTTGCTGCAGTAACAAAGTTCCAGCGTAATAGGTTCGTGATTTGAAGTATTAAGGATAACTTGAGGTAATGTGACAGGCCGCAGACAAGAGATCTGGATGGTTCTTCACAATATATTGTGCACCGGCATTTTATGTTCTCTATTGACATCTGCTTTAAATCTAGCGGACTGTCAGAATGACAGCCACGTTAATCATGAAGGTGGATCGGTGAGATGGGGTACTGATAGCCTGTAGCAGCAACAGAACAGAGTTGTCACAGGAGGAGTCCATCAGGCAGCATTGTGAATGTGTACAGGTGGCAGAAGGAAGAATGGATGAAGTACTGTCTTAATCTTATCTCGTGAGTCAACCCATTTCATGATGTTGGTGTCTGAATACAGTGTACAGTCTTTGGGGGTAGACCTGTGTTCAGAGTTATCTGTCACTGCTGGGCGGGACCTGTTACCCGTGAGCCCTGACATTACTAAGTTGACCCTAGACCATTTGGCAAATGTGTGTGTGTGTGTCACGACAGGCCCAATACAAGGTGTGTAGGGAACCTAGACATCGCACGCATCAATGGTAAAAAAAATGAAAGATACTATTACATCACAAATTAGCAGATAAAAGACACTGTTCCATTATATGGTAGAAGGTAAAAGATACTGTTACATCCTATGATAGAACATGAAAAGCACTGTTCAATCATATGGTAAAACATGAAAGAGACTGTTACATCCTATGATAGAACATGAAAAGCACTGTTCAATCATATGGTAAAACATAAAAGGGACTGTTACATCCTATGATAGAACATGAAAAGCACTGTTCAATCATATAGTAAAACATAAAAGAAACTGTTACATCCTATGATAGAACATGAAAAACACTGTTCCATCGAATGGTAAAACATAAAAGAGACTGTTACATCATATGGTAGGACATGAAATTATATAGTAGAACATGAAAGTCACTGTTACATCCTATGCTAGAACATGAAAAACACTGTTATATCATATGGTAGAACATGAAAGACACTGTTACATCATATAGTATAAGAAAAAAGACACTGTTACATCATATGGCAGAAGAAGAAAGACACTATTACATCATATAGTACAACATTAAAGACTGTTAAATCCTATGGTTAAACATTAAATTAAAGACTGTTACATTTTTTGGTAGAACAAAAGACACATCATTTGGTAGAACATAAAAGACACTGTTACATCTTACAGTACAAGCAAAAAAATAATAATTAACAACTGGTCAGTATGTTTGTGTCATTAATCTTACTTCATGTTCTGACATTTCTTGGACACTCTGAATGCCAATGTCAATGGGGTTTCGCTCAATGAAATTTTGTAGAAGGCTGTCATCAGGTGGGATGTCTACATGCAACTCAGCAATTCTGTCTGAGAAGTTGCATTGTCGCCCAAACTCTGAGCGTTTCTTCGTATAAACATAAACAATCTCCATGTTTTTGCTGTATGTGCTGCTGGTGTCAGTGGCAAGTGAACAGTGTCCAGATGTTGTCGTGTCAGTGGCAAGTAAACAGTGTCCAGATGTTGTAGTGTCAGTGGCAAGTGAACAGTGTCCAGATGTTGTCGTGTCAGTGGCAAGTGAACAGTGTCCAGATGTTGTCGTGTCAGTGGCAAGTAGACTATGTTGAGATGTTGTGGTGTCAGTGGCAAGTGTCCAGATGTTGTCGTGTCAGTGGCAAGTGAACAGTGTCCAGATGTTGTAGTGTCAGTGGCAAGTGAACAGTGTCCAGATGTTGTAGTGTCAGTGGCAAGTGAACAGTGTCCAGATGTTGTAGTGTCAGTGGCAAGTGAACAGTGTCCAGATGTTGTAGTGTCAGTGGCAAGTGAACAGTGTCCAGATGTTGTAGTGTCAGTGACAAGTAAACAGTGCCCAAATGTTGTCGTGTCAGTGGCAAGTAGACTATGTTGAGATGTTGTGGTGTCAGTGGCAAGTGGACTGTGTCCAGTTGTTAAGGTGTCAGGTGTAACTAGAGGAGGACTGCAGATCCAACCCTGAAACACAAACAATAAATATATATTTACAAGACATCCATGACTAAGATACACAACGTAATCTCTTCTAAAGAAGTCTCGGAGGAGGGCTTGCCACAAGGCTCATCATTGAGCTGTACACTGTTTCTAATCTTTATCAATGACTTGCCAGAACAAATCCAGGCCAAAAAAGCTGTGTACGCTTATGACCTAGCAATATTGAAGTCATGAAAATGTGGAAAGTGGAGCCCACAGACTAAATGGAGACCTTAGAAGACTGCATGAGTACTGCCAAAGATGGAAACTCAAGGTTAACTAAACAAAGACGGTCTACACAATCTTTACCAAAAGCCACCAAGTAGCAAGGAAAAATATTAACCTGGGGTTAGGCAAACACCAAGTGATGAAAGAAGAGCATCCTACATACCTTGGAGTCACACTTGACCGGCAGCTCAGCCTCAAGAACCATTTTGAAAACGTAAGGAATAAGGCATTGAGGCGGTTACAGTTATTAAAGAGACTTGCAGGTACATCATGGGGATCAGACAAGGAAACTCTGAGGGGCTTATATCTCGGATATGTTCACTCTGTGATAGAGTACAACAACTCACTGCTTACAACCTGCTCCAAAACTAACCTAGAGACTCTTGACAGAGTACAAAATAATGCCCTCCGATTAATCTGCAGAGCAATGCGGTCTACACCAACTGCTGCATGTGAAATCTATAAAAATGTGGAACCCCTCGGGTTGCGGAGAGAAAAAGCCAATTTAGAAAGTTATGAAAGATGCGTGAGAATGAATCGTAACCATCCTAATAGACACCTTGTAGAAAACTGGGAATACAAACAAAGAATAAAGCACAAATCGGTTTTACACTGTGTTCATGAAATTCAGGACAGATACCACCTCCCAGAAAGACGTCAAGGCATTCAGAATGTTGCAAAAAACCTACCACCACATGCTCGCTTTAAAGCTTCAGAAGTCTGAATTAAATTGGTAGGCGAGAAAACCAAACAGTCCGACCCAATCGCTCTTATGAACTCATCACTAAAGACCGTTGATTCTTACCCCCAAGAATGGATACATGTCTATACTGATGGATCAGCATTTAAAGCTACCATTAAAGCAGGTTACGGAATCTACAGAGGTTATCCCGATAAATCTTTTGAAGAGATTTTTGATGCATGCGGGGAATTCTGCTCAAATTATGAAGCCGAAATAATTGCACTGGAAACAGTAGTATACCACCTAAAGACTGTAATGGATGTTTACCCTTCAAAGGCCCAAAATATTGTCATCTTCACAGATTCAATGTCTGCCCGTCAAGCTCTGGAGGGCAGTGATCGCTGCAGAACTGACATAGCCAAGATATTCCTGGATGCTGATCAGCTTATTACCTCATACAACATCAGAATAGTAATGCAGTGGATTCCAGACCACTCCGGCACACTAGGTAATGACAGAGCTGACAGACTGGCAACGAAAGGAGCAACACAAGAACAACCACCTACAGCGACAACCCAACAGACAGCAAAAACACTTATAAGAGCTATAAACAAAGAGACTTGGTTGAACAGATGGGCCATGGGAGACACTGGAAGAGAGGTTTATAGACACATGGCTGGCCCTGATCCTAATGACAGCATTAACCATCTAACAAGAAGGGACCAGGCCACCATCTTCAGACTTAGAACACAACATACTCCACTCAATGGACATCTAAACAGAATACAGCCACAACACTCCCCAGATTGCCAGCTATGTAACTACCCCTACGAAACTGTTGAACACCATCTCTTTGAGTGCCCAAAACTCAGCAAGACTAGAAGAATGCTACTCCCTCCGAGACCAGAAAAGTGGAACACCTTGTTCGGAGGAAATGAACAGCTTGTAAAAACATGCAAATTCCACTACATGGCATTGGGCCAAAGGACGAAAGCTAATGCGCCGCTGGATCGATAACAACAACAACAACAACAAGATATCCATTTTACACTGAGGTTTTGAAACAGACAAGGTATTATGTATATCATCCAGGTGACAAATTCTAGGTCCATCTAGCTGTCCTATTTACATATTTTGAATATTGAATTAGGAACAACATCACAGCACTCGGGACACTTCCATAAGCACTCCATCCTTGTCTTCAGCAGCAAGCCAAGAGTTTCAGTTCTGATGATATCAGTAACTGTCCAATAGTATATCCGTCCCACCTTTTCCCTGAATGTTTAGTGTCAGCCAAATCACCTGATAACTCCCCGAGTGGTAAAACAGTGAACAGGAAAACTGAACAGGTACTATAATTCCTGATAAACCTATGACATCTGACACTGACGGATGTATAGAGTGAGAGAAGGAGATATGGAGTAGCACTTAGATATGCCAGCATCCCCTGTGAGATTAATCACAGTAACATACATCGCTCGGAAGTAGTCTAAGACGATAAGAATCTTTAGGAGATCACAGACACTTGCAGTGAAAAAGAGATAACGAGGAACGCTGGCCAGACAATGCCCTAACAGATACAGGAGAAAGGGGAATAATAATCTTTTGGTCAGATAAAAAGAGACAACGGACCTGGAATCTAAGGATGAGGATGAACAGATGGACGGGTGTCAAGAATGTAGAAATCGCCCAGGCTTGGAGAAGAAAAGAGATAACAAAATAACAAGCAAGAGGAGAGAAGGAGGGGAACTCAAGGACATGTGAAGGTGAGAGTTGAGGAGGCAGCTAGAACAAGTTGTCTTAGCCGGGCGGTCACAAAACAAGAACTGTATTTGTGAACAAAGCAGTAGAGGACCACAAGTTAAGCTTGGTTAGAAGATAGACAGTTTTACTTCATGTTAGAAGTTTTTGTGAACAAAGCAGTAGAGGACCACAAGTTAAACTTGGTTAGAAGATAGACAGTTTTACTTCATGTTAGAAGTTTTTGTGAACAAAGCAGTAGAGGACCACAAGTTAAGCTTGGTTAGAAGATAGACAGTTTTACTTCATGTTAGAAGTTTTTGTGAACAAAGCAGTAGAGGACCACAAGTTAAGCTTGGTTAGAAGATAGACAGTTTTACTTCATTTTAGAAGTTTTTGTGAACAAAGCAGTAGAGGACCACAAGTTAAGCTTGGTTAGAAGATAGACAGTTTTACTTCACGTTAGAAGTTTTTGTGAACAAAGCAGTAGAGGACCACAAGTTAAGCTTGGTTAGAAGATAGACAGTTTTACTTCATGTTAGAAGTTTTTGTGAACAAAGCAGTAGAGGACCACAAGTTAAGCTTGGTTAGAAGATAGACAGTTTTACTTCATGTTAGAAGTTTTTGTGAACAAAGCAGTAGAGGACCACAAGTTAAGCTTGGTTAGAAGATAGACAGTTTTACTTCATGTTAGAAGTTTTTGTGAACAAAGCAGTAGAGGACCACAAGTTAAGCTTGGTTAGAAGATAGACAGTTTTACTTCATTTTAGAAGTTTTTGTGAACAAAGCAGTAGAGGACCACAAGTTAAGCTTGGTTAGAAGATAGACAGTTTTACTTCACGTTAGAAGTTTTTGTGAACAAAGCAGTAGAGGACCACAAGTTAAGCTTGGTTAGAAGATAGACAGTTTTACTTCATGTTAGAAGTTTTTGTGAACAAAGCAGTAGAGGACCACAAGTTAAGCTTGGTTAGAAGATTGACAGTTTTACTTCATGTTAGAAGTTTTTGTGAACAAAGCAGTAGAGGACCAAAAGTTAAGCTTGGTTAGAAGATAGACAGTTTTACTTCATTTTAGAAGTATTTGTGAAGCATACATATACAGCAACAGTAATCTGAAATGTTCATCATCACTGTGTAACAGAAATCAGTGTCGTACTTGAATTAGCTTCATGTTGTTATCCATAACGATCTTAAAACTGAGATGAATTATTTGATCCATTACTGGCTGTATTAGTAAACACAACAGACATACAAACAATGTCTTTTATACTTGGTTCCGTTTAGGCATGCTTATGCTTAGGGGGATGGAAAAATAGATTGTGTCACACCAGTAGTGAAATACTCCTCAGACCATAATGATCTATTTGTGCCTCCACACTGTTCATTTGTGCTCAAAGAGGCCTCCACACTGTTCATTTGTTCTCAAAGAGGCCTCATAACTGTTCATTTGTTCTCAAAGAGGCTCATAACTGTTCATTTGTTCTCAAATAGGCCTCATAACTGTTCATTTGTTCTCAAAGAGGCCTCATAACTGTTCATTTGTTCTCAAATAGGCCTCATAACTGTTCATTTGTTTTCAAAGAGGCCTCATAACTGTTCATTTGTTCTCAAAGAGGCCTCCACACTGTTCATTTGTTCTCAAAGAGGCCTCCACACTGTTCATTTGTTCTCAATGAAGCCTCATAACTATTCATTTGTTCTCAAAGAGGCCTCATAACTGTTCTCCACCTTTTTTCAACATACTCTATGAGTCAGTTAAATTTATGACATGTGTGTATA